AAGGGGAAAAGTCTGGAGCTAGGATAAGGCTTCTTCTTTGTCTTGGTGGCTCATTTCTGGATGAGATCTCGACATAGGGTTGATTGAAGCTCTCCGATGAACGAGCACATGCGCTTGAATTTTAGATGATGGATGCCTTTACCTTCAATCTTCAATACCGTCGTTGGACGTTTTTTTGGTGGGTGTGGTCCGGTCTCCGGTTGAATCCGATGCTTAACCGTGTTGGTTTTGCTCTAGTGATGACTTTCAAACAGTGAAGATGATGGAGACTCAGATAACACGTGTTGTTCTTCCTTCGTTCCTTGTAACACGTGTTGATTTGGAGTAATTAAGTTTTTTTCCTTTGGTCATATTTCCTTAGGTTTGGACTAGTGTTGGGCCTTGATGTTTGTAGTGTTGATTTAGGGTTTGTATCACATTTCTTTTTTTTTTTTTTAATAAATATCAGATGGCAAAAAATATATATATAGAATTTCTGACCTTTTTAATATTACAACTAGATTTTGACCCGCTTGTTAAATTACATTTTGTATATTTATAGATATATATTTTACGCACACACACACACATATATATATATATAACATTAATTATATGTTTAAATGTTTATATAACCATCACATGTATTTGTCATTTTTACTATATATTTATCTTATTAGATTTGCATTTATGTATTAAGCAGATCAATATATGTATGAAACAATATATTAAAAAAATACAGTTATATTTAATGTATTCTAAATTCTTACGTGCACTTTAAAGATTTAGATTACTTTTTTTTTATCCTATTTAGTTTGGTATAATAGTTATTTTTATATGATTAGTTATGATTATAAAACAAAAAATATAAATAGAATTTTTATTTTTAATTTTTATAAACAATAACTAACTATATCTTAATTTATAATAATATTTATTATTAATTACGAAATTATTGAAAATATTTATACAAAATTCTTGAAATTAAGATCTTGTTATAAAATCTTTTTTTATAAAATCTGTTAGAATTTTTTAAAATTATATATTTATATTTAAAATGAAAAATATCAAAATATATTATGATTAAAATAGTTACAAAATTTATATTAAGATATTATGATTAAAGTAGTTACAAAAAAAATCACACATGAAATGAAATTGTGACTTCTGTTTTAATATAACTAGGAAACCATCCCGCGCGCGGGAGAAAAGATGTTTTTTTTTAAAGTAATTTTTATATAATTTATATTTGTTAGTCAATCATTTTGAATCATTTAATAAACTAATTATTTTGTACGAAAATCAATACTTAAAAAAATAATCTTATATAATAGAATAGTGAAAGTATAATATGTGTTTGAAAATTTATAAATTTAAATGTTATGTGTTTAGCATAACAATATTAAGTAAACTTTAATATTAAAGTCGCAGTCATTTTCTTTTATCTTTTTATATATGAGAAGATAAACTTTTAAATTTGTTGAAATGATGGAACAGTTTAAACCTTTTAATTAAATAATATAATATGTTTTAATACACTGTAATTAATATGCAAAGAATGACATTTTTAAATCTATGACGCTCAGTACCTCCATACAAACTGGGTTAGAAAAACAAAAAAAAAAAGACTTTATCAGAAGAAAAAGTATGACTGTTTGATGTAAAAAGATGTGTTGTTTGAAAAAAAAATATGTTAATGCCATAAATATCGTATGTCTAAAAACAATTTCTTAGGACAATTGCATGAAAAACAAAACAATGGTTGAAAAATTGTATATTTTCATAATAAACTAAAATATATTAGTTTAAAAGTTTCATCTTTCATTATAAAAATAATTGTGTATTTTTTATAAAAAAAAATTGTTGAAAGGTTGTATCTTTTGATAAGAACCGAATTATATTAGTTTAAAACTTGCATCTTTTTGTTATAAATAGAATTGTCTAGTTTCATAAAAAGTTATCTATTATTTTAAAAGTTTCATCTTTTCATTATTAAAAAAAGTTTATGTTTCAGATAAAATATTTTAAAAGTATTTAAAAGAGGGTATAAGAATTGTGTCTTCTCAAAATAACAATTGTTGAAAGGTTGTATCTTTTCATAAAAAAAAACTTAAATATATTAGTTTAAACATTGCATCTTTTCATTGTAAAAATAATTGTGTATTTAAAAAAATCCATTATTTTTAAAGTTGCATAAAATATTTATTTGGACCATTAGATGAAAAACAAAACAATTATTGAAAGGTTGTATCTTTTCATAAGAACTGAAACATATTAGTTTCAAAGTTGCATCTTTTCATTATAAACTATTGTGTCTCACAAAAAATAATTTAAAATAGTTATAAGAGTTGTGTCTTCTCATAATAAAAATCTACTAATTATAACAATCTTGATTAATTTTAAAGGCTGTGAATGCCGAATAAAAAGAAAATTGAGACTCTTAATAAAAATGTCT